CAGATTTCTAGAATTCAAAAGGCATCCTGCAAAGCCCAAGGTGTCCTTTCAAAAGTTGACCCATACGCCCTGGGGAGAACTGCCTGTGGCAATGAATTGTCTGTGGCCTGCCACAGAAGCGGCAGCTTCCACAGCTTTAGAGAACAGCTGAACGCCAACAGTCGAACATACAGACTAAGCAAAGAACTCATCATCAGCTATCCTTCGTAGTACAACGGCTAGTATATCCGCCTTTCAAACAGTTTATCTGTAGATCGCGGGCGACCGGGGTTCGACTCCCCGCGGGGGAATCATCTTTTTCACGTTTTTTCTTTGCTCTTCGAACGCATTTCTTTTTGCAGATGTCAGAACGAGCGTTTTTCATTCCATGCGGGCAAGGTAAGTATTCTCATACTCTCACGGAATATCTACTTCTCATTGGCATAGTGATGCGTCGCCCTCCATTATGAATTGCACGCCTACTTGTGGTACTGCAGAATCGTGACAAAGCGTTGTCACTTTCCTAACTACGGTAATACAACCCAGGGCAGGTCTCATATCCGCAGCACAGCATGTGGACCCTATGTGCTCTCTGGGGCGCGTGCCCTCTTGGCCGCTTTGCCACAATACGCCAAGATGTTCTTCTCCAGCGCTCGAAGGGCAAGGACTTCGTCGTCGTCTGTATCATCTAAGGAATCCTGCCGTGTGAGAAGTGCGTTCCAAGCCGATGTATTGTCAATAGCAGCTACCAACTCTTCAATGCGAGCACCTAAAGTACATTATGTCAGCGTCAGAAGGCATGAAAAGTATGAAGCCATACGTACTGAATCCATCTGGTGTTACCGACATACAAAGGATGTCTACGGAGATGACGATAGAGGTAAATGTCTGTTGTGCCAGATTAAGCTGTCTTACTTACCGTATTCGGAGTCCTTTGCAGCGACCAGTATAGCTTTATTTCTTTGGAAATTGTTTAGAGTAGGATAGCCAATGACACCAAGCAATCATAACATACCTGTCCTGAGGCTGCAATTTATTATCCACGTCATGACCGAGGAGTCGCACCCATGTTTCGACTGTCAATGCTTTGCCAAGGGCTCTCACCAACGATTTCAGCGCGGCATTACGTAGTGAGACCTGAAGAAGGAAGGTTTAAATAGAGGGACTCGAACACCAGAGCTGACCACTCACCCCTATTTTCTGCGAACACTGTGCGAGGACTTGCATATCATCTTCATTATAAATTGTTTCCAGAGAGGCTATTAAACAATGTTGATCAACGGAGACCAGTGAACGTTAATGACTGCAATAACGTACTACTTTGTGTCAAGCGGGTCCGGGTGCGTAAAGTTGCGGCTGGTTGAGTCAACGAAGGTTGTGTTAATGCGAATGGGGTTTTGAAAGGCTTCTGGGTGGGTGTATTCCGGGTAGCAACACTTGCTAATGGAGGGAGACGACACGGAGTCAGACATTGCATCAATGTACGAGCACTAGCAACGTACCAGCGAGCAATGGCGAGCCTGCATACGGACTAGCGTCCATCATCTTAATTTTCTTCGCTGGCTTGCCTGGTGGATCCTCTACAATCACCGTTGATGTTTTCCTATCTGACGTGAGGATCGAACGGTTGGGGTTGGATGATAGTCCAAACGGGCGCCGAGCTATTGAAGCCGGAGCAGCTACTGCGGCTGCGTATGGATTCACTTGAGGTATCGGCTGTATCTTTGCAGGAATGATTTTGGGCGGTGGCATAGACGGTCCTGTCCGCTCCAGTATTCGTGGCGGCGATGGACGAGGAGGGGAAGAGGCTGATGCCAGCGCTTGGCGAATGTCAACATTGTAAAAATTGACAGAATTCACAGGTGCAAAAGAATCGAGATCGCATTCCTTCCTCTTAGGAACCTGTGATGCGACGACCACGTCTTCCGTCAGATGGGTGGCACGCAGAGCTACCTTTTCAGGATGAGCACATATCTGCGAAGCGAATGGTCAGTCGGTTGGATCGACGAGAATATACGAGGGGATGACGTACATCACACATATTTTGACAGTACAATCTGGCGATGGAAGCATCTGATTCGTCGATCTTCTCGCCAAAGTAACGACAGATCGCTACGTGTCGACATGTCTTTATGTCCTCCGCATAGTGTTGTACCTAGATCAAGTTACCACAGCTGAAGTTCTGTCCTTGGCGTGACGACCACCGCAATAAGCTACTCACTGTCTTGAAACTATCCAGCCCACTGTGGAGATCGTCATCGGTCTCTGAGCCGTCTTTATCCTTGCCTTTTTTCTTCTTGCCCTCTTCCATAGTCACGAGCCGGCGTAATCTCCATGCATCCTCACGCGCTAAGGTCGAACAGGTGTGAGTATAGTTCTTTGATACGGGAGGACTTCGCGTACAATAATAAAGCAGGCACTTGGCAACCTGCAAATATTGAGCATATACCTTATAATCAGTGGAGAATCACGATCAAGGGCTGAATCAAACTTACGCTACCATCTCTTCCTGCACGGCCCGTCTCTTGGTAGTAACCTGTTCGAGAAAGCTATTATGCTCCCGAATTTCATCGGAGACGACAGCTCCAACTAACCTTCAAAGCTCTTGGGCAAGTCAACTGAGGAATTGTATCATCAGCGTGATATCCGGGATTCTAAGGTCTTTGCGGCTTGCTCACAATGAACGACATATCTCACGTCCGGCTTATCAATTCCCTGAGAAGCGTAGATTAGCACGGAACTAGTTATATGGCTCGCGACATCTTACCATTCCAAAGGCTATAGTGGCAACCACACAGTCGATATCTCCCTTGAGCCATTTCTTCAAGGTCTCGTCAAGCATAGCACCCTTCAGCCCTCGATGGAATGGCCTGGCTTTGATGTGATTATATTGAAGGAATTCTGACACGGCATCGCACTAAGTCGTCGCGAATAATGTGTAAGCAATAGTTCGCGTTCATCATCTACAGCGCCTGACCCGCTTACCAAGGCTTTGCTTCGGCAGTAGATGATACCCGAAACAACACACTTTTTCGAAGGATTGGTAGGATCGGGTGGCGCACGACGATGTAAAGCATCTATATATGCTTTCACATCTTGAAATCTGTCGTGATCTGGTTCGGGACGATACCTCACCTGAAAGGACCATAAGGTAAGTAATGAACGCCCATAGATAATGAAGTCACCCACTTCGTAATACAAGTTACTTCTGTTGAACGGCTCCACGCAGCGGTACAAATAATTTGGATCCATCTTTAGACTTTGCAGGACGTCTTTCTGCACTCGTGCAGTTGCAGATGCCGTCAAAGCCTGGAACGCGGGTATTCCTGGAGTCAACAACCACTAAGCTTGCGAACGAGAGATCCATGCTTACCATGATAGGAACATGGGGGAAAGTCTCGCGGAAGAAGCCCAGCTTCCTATATTCCTGTAACGGATTCCATGAATACGTAAGCGCGGAGTAGTGTCTGTGACAGGCATTTATCATACCGGTCGGAAGGAAGATCCCCATTCCTGAGTGACGGGTTAGTTGACTTGATACTTGCTGAGCACCTGAGAAAGAAGATGACATACTGAAATACAATGAGCCTCGTCGACTACTAGCCGTCTCAGCTCCTTCTGCTGCACAACTTTCTTCAAGCTCTTCAAGAAATGTCGAGAGAAAAGGGATTCGGGGGTAAGGTACAGTAATCGAGCCAGAGGGTGACCTGAAGCCAGATCTCTTTCGATCTAGACGTGCGAACAAAACCCACAATCAGCTTTCATAACCGCTCAAAACCACGCGCGCCAAGACTCACTTCTTGTCTTTCGTCCATGGTGCTTTCCGAAGTTAGCATATGTACTTTAACCCCGTAACCTCGCAACGCTTCAACTTGATTTTTCATCAGCGCTAGATTGGAAAGCAGTGATTAAGGCGTCAAGTCAGATCGGCTTATAGAGAAGAAGACGCACATAATAAAGGAGAAATAACCACCGTAATCCCATGGCTATCTGCTACAGCCGGCACTTGAAAACACAGACTAACAATTTTACGAGTATCAGTTGTGCAGCACGAAGGATACCAATCACCCACACGCGAAACATACCTTTTCCCCATCCCAGTGGGTGCCACGACCAAAACATCAGCTCCACGAACAGCTGCTTCCATTATTTCCCTCTGTCGGCCTCGAAAGTCGGTCTTTTTAAAAGCTAACGGGTTCATGATACCTAGATAAGTCGCGTTTCAATAACACAGGTTGAGGGAGGAAGATGACCCACTTGATCTCAGAACTCGCAAACAATCTTCTTGTCGTGAAGCTGTTCTACGAAACTTGCGCGGCATAGATAGTGTACGCTTAAGCTGAAGGGAACGTTGATCAGATATGGATAGATCACGGTAGCAGTGCAGCGAACTTACCTGTGTAGCAGTCTGCAAATTAGGATACGCTGGAGGTACTTCTGGAGTTGCCATGGGTATGAAAAGCGGCCGACTCGGACCAGAGTGCTCTTCTGTTGAAGAGCTCATATCGAAGACTTGCCCTGCGTACGTTGAAAGAGTGACGGCAATATTATAGTTGCTCACTTAGGAGATAGGCGGCGTCGCCGCAGAATCCAAGAGTTCGGATGGGATCAACGTATTGTAAGTAGCTCGTCACCGGGTTTCAGGAGTTGTACGGTGCATACTGCTCCAATAAGGCAGCTGATGGACAACCCGACGGCCAGAAGGTCACAGTAGCTACGACCAGAAAGCAGATACATGCTGAATGGCGATCATACATGTATCGTCTGAAACGCGAAGGGATGTCTCGGTCACCACCCGATCAAAAAGTAAACAAGGATTTTCGATGTCTTCAAGGAGCTCTTCAGGGTCCTCGAGTCCGCGTTTTCTGTGTGCGTCCATATGCATACCTGGAAGAGGTACCTGAAGCCAGATCAAATCCAAATTAATGTAGAAGTTGGTCATCAAATGGTTTGTAGCAGATTGATTGGCAAGCACAAAGAGTTATGTCTCGACAATTGTTTAGAGAACAGAGTCATCCCCCTCTCCCTTAGCTCAGTGGTAGAGCGCGACACTAGTATTTACCGTTCTGGAATGTCGAGGTCAGTCGTTCAAATCGGCTAGGGAGAATTGCCAATGAGCAATTACCTTTTTGCGATTTTAGAAATCCTTTTTTTTCAACAATTGTCTGCGCACGCACATCTATGAGCAAGCTTTAGCTTGTCACTGCTACTAGTCGAATGCGCGACTGCCTTGCATGTCCCTTTGCACTTCCAGGGTGGGTTTCACAGGACTAGGCAGTGAAATCGTTTTTCCCTGGTGTAACAGTTCGTTCGCCTGTTGCAAGTCGAGTGTGAAGCTCATTATCAGCAAGCATCGAGCGACCATATGAATTTGAAAGCAATAATGAGTTGTGCAACGTGCGCATTGCTGTATGCCACTGGGAGTTAAGTCGATGGCTGAGTAGCTGGCTGAGTGGATGCAGAAAAGCTTGCAGAAGAAGAAAACTGGTGCAAAGTCATCATCCCGGTGCCAGTCATTAGGGCCCGGCCGGTTGTCCGGCCTTCTGGTCCCTACGGTTAGCTCGAGATGTTCGCGCATATCCGACATATCGAGTGGGCTGAATGAAATATTTCGGAAGCTCACGTTCCTCCTCCCACCCACGTTCATTTGCCCAACGTGCTCCTGCCGGAATTGTTTCAGCTATTAGTACATATAAAGAGCGGAGGCCAACACAATGTGAACTCGATGTACGCTCCAACCTGCCAGCCAACAGCCATTCCTCTTCGACCTCCTTCCTAGCTCGAACTCTCTCGAACCCTCTTCAAAATGCTGAAGTCCGTTGTTCTCGCTTCTTTGGCCGTCTCAACCGTCCTGGCCATCCCGGTGAACCTTCCGCAAAAACGATGGACGTACGCCAAGTGAGTTACCGTTGTTGACGATGTTGTCATGTGGCCAACCCACTAACAGATAATATCATGAATTACTCTCTCACAGGTACTTCGATCTTCAAGGTCACCGAGGTGGACGAGGAGAACATATCGAGAACACCCTGGACAGCTTTGCGTGGGGTATCATTGACGGTAAGCAGAAGCCTGGGTGATGTGATATCATGAGGCTTATCCTCCATTGTACAGGTGTCACTACATTGGAGATGGATACCGGCCTCACTGTACGGCAAGCAAGCTTCACGTGCGCAGGAGTGCCTTTGCTGATGTTGAGTACCTGGCGTTACAGAAAGACGGGCATCTCGTGGTCTGGCACGATGAAGTGAGTTTCCGAGCCCACAAAGCCGCTTACAAGAGTACAGAGACGAAACAATGAATCTGATCGCTCTGGAATTTCGCAGAGTATCGACCCTACCAAGTGCTTGGACACGGCTCCTGTTTTCAGCGATGATCCTATGTACCCCTACGTTGGAAAGGTAGGTGTTGCGCCTTCTGAGTTGCTGCAACCGCAACTTTTCTAATACGAACCGATACTCCTTTTCGCGACCCTTCATAGTATATCGCCAACTTGACACTCGCTCAAGTAAAGACTCTCGACTGCGGCTCTCTTCGACTCAAGGACTTCCCCTTGCAGCTCACCCTCCCTGGAACCAAGATTTCTACCCTCGAGGAAGTCTTCGAATTTGTCGACTGTGCGACTGACGACGAGATTCTCTTCAACATCGAGTCCAAGGTTGATGGGGACTTCCGAAATCTCACTCGAGGCCCTGAGGATTTCGTGAATGTAAGCATGACCGTGATATCTCGCCCAAGTGCTTGTCGTTGATCCAGAATACCGATCTCAATGTGCGATACTCGTCATGTAGGCCATGGTTACTTTATACAAGTCGCTAGGTCCCTCTTTGATCGACAGAATCACCCATCAAGTAAGTAGAAGCCAGCGGTTATGTAACACTTCAGGCTGATGATTTTTGTTTTCGAAATTCACAGTCTTTCGACGTGAGTATACTCGTTTAATCGCCGCGTGTTCTCATTCCTAATTAAATCCCCTGTATCGCAGTGGCGATCCCTCATCCTTTCCAAGCAACTCTTGCCGTCTTTACGAACTTCTGCTTTATGCGACGACACGACCCTTTACAAACCCTTGTCTGCCGGCACGGATGGCAACTTGACCACGCACGGAAAGGGTCCGTCCAACTGGTTGGCCGGTATCGATGTCGACTCCTTTAACGGGTCTACTGTTGCCGAGCGAGTTGGTCAGTCGCAGTTGTGTCGTTTCGGTCTCTAGCACATCATGCTGAAGTCTCTTCGTGTTCGTTCAGCTCAAGCCGCGGCGTCAATCGGCGCCGATTTCCTGTCGCCCGTAGCCACTGCGTACGCTTCTCCTGTGGCTGATCCCGCTCTTCCCGGTTACATCGCCTTTACCAACAAGACCATGGTCGACGCTGCTCACAAATACGGTATGCAAATCAAGCCTTGGACTCCCGACACGCTCAACGTAGTCAAATACCTCCTGGATATCGGCGTTGACGGTCTTATCACCGACTTTCCCCTCTCGGTCAGACGGTACCTTGACCAGCGAGGTGTTTATGCCTTGCCCGCCTTGGGTGACGCCACCCGAGTCCAAAAGTGCTTGAAGCAGCACATCCAATTGGCGCCTTCCAACCGGACCATCTGATCTGGTCATCATCTGATCGGCTCAGAGAGGAAACAATAAGGTTGTGCGCGATTGAAACATAGAAATAGGGAACCTCTGCTCATCTCTAATGCTGGCAATTAATGCTGCGACGTAGTATAAACCGATGTCATAATGATAATGGAGGGAGTGATATGCATATTCAAGTCAAACTTTGACATACAGCCGACTCGGCGAGGACTGTGCAAGGATATGTACTTCACGCATGCTGTTGAGCTGGCAATTATGAAAACAGCTTCTCAGTAATGATCTGTTGCCAACTGCCCCTGACTACAATTCCATAGCAGCTTGCACAGTCTTCTCGACGACGGGCAACCAGCTCGAGCTAATACCGAAGATAATTGCAGCCTTCGGTAAGAATATGAAAGGCCAAACAAAACATCAATCGTCCTTCGTAGTACAACGGCTAGTATATCCGCCTTTCAAACAGTTTATCTGTAGATCGCGGGCGACCGGGGTTCGACTCCCCGCGGGGAACATCTTTTTTTTTTCCTTGCTGGGCTGTCCGTATCCCTGCTCAGTGTTTTTCGTGCCACGCTTAGGAAACATCGTCGAGCAACATCGATTGCCAAAGCATGACCAAGACAGCCATCCTTCGCCCCTTTACTCGCAAGACGAGCCACGGGATGCAGTGCAACAGATATCCAAGCTAGAAAATGGTCACCCTTAGCGGCCATCCTGATATCTGGCAGCTCGAATAACCCAATTATTCAACAGTATTACGTCTCAATTGACAACAAGAGACGCTGATAAACATTACGACCTGTACAAGGTGTGATTCGATGGTGCAGTGCAACAAGGCGACGGACAGTACGCATAGGAGATTGTACCGGACAATCAGAAGGAAATCACTGGCGCGGCCCGTACCAGCTCTTCTTCCTACGGTCCTGGAGGTTCTGCTCGCTCTTCTGTTTAGGCAAAGATACCTGCTGAACAGCCGTAGACATTTCCTCGAACGTGAACGGGTCCGCTTGGGCGTTGTACCCAGCAGCGGAATTGACGGATGGCGTGTTTGGATAAGAAGGATAAGGGGAATAGCCATAGTATCCATGCTGGGCGTAGCTTCCACGTGGCGAGTCTGAACGGCAAGGTGTATCAGGCATATATACTTGACTGAATCTGGGGATGAAACTTACAGGCGTCCATGGGGTCAGGGGCGTCTCCGGTAGGACTTGTCAGAACTGAGCTAGCAGGTGTATGGTCTGAGCTCATGTAACCAGCCTGTGCGGGATACCTCCATCCGCTGTACCCGGAATCTAAAGTGGAGGAGAGAGTCAGAAGATGCAATCATGTGCAGGAGTACTCCGATACTTACGTCTAGGAGCAAGCTTCGGTGGAGCCTCTGCCACTCCAGCAAACCTTACATCCCGACGACTGTCAGAATCAGGCGGCACTGGCCGCGCAGGGGGCTTTGTCCGAAGAGGCGGTCCAGCAATGGGAACGCCCGGATGTCGTTGAACAGAAGCGGCAGCAGCGGGCTCCATCATTGCCCCGTCATCGTATACACCAGGGGCCATGGGACCATATTCCGCGCCCATGCCCGGGTGATGTTGGGGCATCATTCCTGGATGTTGAAATCCATAGAACATCGGTGGTTGCGGTTGGCCCGTGTACATGGGTACGCCCATGCCCATGCCCATACCCATCGGAGGTCGGACAGCAGGCATCTTCCCTGGCCCTCCAGCTGCAAATTCGGGGACGGCACCGACATTGTAAGGGTATCCGGGACTTTGGTGAATTGGACCAAAGTATGGCGGGGGATACATGAACATTGCGACGATTGACGGCGTACGACGACGCGAAAGTGAAAGATAACGTCAGTGAAGCAGATCAAGTGGACCGTACAGGGATGAAAGGGTAAAAAGGTAAATTCGGGGCCAGCCCATTCAGCTTATATTATCAAGCCCGGCTGTCACTTTACAGTGGCGTACTCTCTTGTCCAACCCCAGGAATGATTGACTGTACTGCAGATCACCCTGTCAAAGGGATTTATAACGGCTCAACCGTCGACCAAGTGCCTCACGCTGACATCCCTTTCGAAGCGCGGCTGCATTCCCTTTGACACAGCCCAAGACGCAAAGGAAGGGGGTAAGAACAAGGTGAGGGTTTCACTCACGTTTGCGAATCGGCCCAATCCGGGAAAGAATATCCGTGCGTTGTTTCCTGATCAAGAGGAGCAGCAAATCCGCCACCACCTCCGGGAGGCGCACCATCATACATGCTCATCAAACGGTAATACTCCTCCCACGCCGCCTGCCGTTCCGCCTCTGTCTCGGAATCGTACTCCTCTCCTTCCGGCATAGGGGGAACCAGCGCACGAGTCGATACTGGAGACGTGCGGTAAGCATGAGGAGTCGCACCTTCGAGGACTGATTGTGAGCGAAGGGAAAGTGCCATCAAAGGCATGTTGTACGGATCGTCGGCGGCGGCGGCGGATGTCGGTGGAGGTTGTTCTGATTGGCTATAGGAGCGAAGCAGAGACTAGT